TATTTAAACTACATATATGCAATCGTTTTGACTGTATTGTTACAGTTGGTTGATATCTTAAAGTCGAAATTTGGTCGGAATGATTGTATATCCTTTTGGAGTTATCTTCTTGAAGGGCTTAGTTTTGGATATACTAGCCCAGATGTCCTTCAAAAGCGCTTTGCTTGTGTTAAATGTATGTTAGATACATTACAAACGGTAGAGTTGAGCTACAAACAAACTTATGATGTGGTAATTAGATTGTGCCATCACTTATCCACGTTTCCATCGAAACAATTGATTGAAATTCTGGAAATATGTATCGATGGTGTACGGATGGGAGATCGTAAATATATATGGTAAATTTTAATTTATTTTAAAGGTTCATATATTATAAATTATATTTTTATATTATTAGCTGGAAAGATTTACTACCGGATGTTCTGAATCTTTTGGCCCAACATCCGCAGATATTTGTAAATGGTATACCAATGAGAGGAAGTGAATACCGTGCGAACATAATAAGTAGCTTGACATCTTTGCGGTGGCCGATAGAGATTCTAACGCCGCTTGCAGATTTGTTTAAGTAAGTAAAATTAAGTATGCAACTAGATATATATGTATAACCATTCCATTTTGGATAATCTTAGGGGACTAGGATTAAAAAGTGCTGAAAAGATTGCAGTACTAAATAAGTTTGGTGTAATGCTACAAACTTTGTCTCCTACCGAGCTGCCCGCGTTGGCTTTTCAGTTATTTTCTATGTGCTCAACATGTTCAGAAATTATGATATTACTTCTCGCTTTCGAAAAATATTTTCACCGTTTTTATTATAAGAAATTATTTGCTGATATGCAAAGCAATTCAACAGACTTTGATAGCATAGGTTTGTATTGCTAAGATGTTTTATTGCCATTACTAAATTGTTATTATTTATTAGATGCCTATTCCGACAAGGAACTGCGAGAAGCTGAGGAGACCATTTTACATCATTTGAATTATTGCACACAGTTTAAAATAGGCGAAATACAAATGGCTGCTGTTCTGCGCGTAAGCTTATAGAAAATAATACTTGTCACTATAATAACTCGGTGCATATAAACAAAAACCGTTAAAGTCGAAAAAGGGTAATGTGAGGTATGAACAAAGATGTACAAGAGCAGATATGCCCATTTCAAAGCCCATAAGAGCTGGTCAACTCGGTAAAAGGAATTAGAAAAAGTTGAAACATAAACGAGCTGGTTATTACAGCTTATTTATGAAGCAGTCTTTGATTTGTTATTGGCCTGGCTAACTTGTTACTTTGTGAAGCACTTAGCAAGTGATATCAAACAGGTAGTAGCATTTAAGCAAAAACAACATTTGCGTGAATTTTGTTGTTGCTTCTGGCATAGAAAGTATCAAATGCTGGTCTGATTTTTTCTTCTAAATCAAAGCGGGCCATGTGAGATATAACAAAAATAAAAATTTAAAGAATTGAATATAAAAATTTGAATT